TTTATCATGAAGGGATGTTGGATTTTGTCAAAGGCTTTGTCAGCATCTATTGAGATGATCATGTGGTTTTTCTTTTTTAGTTTGTTAATGTGGTGGATTACATTGAAGGATTTTCGTATGTTGAACCATCTTTGCATCCCTGGGATGAAGCCTACTTGATCATGGTGGATGATTTTTCTGATATGTTCTTGGATTCGGTTTGCCAATATTTTATTGAGTATTTTAGCATTGATGTTTATGAGGGATATCGGTCTGTAGTTCTCTTTCTTAGTCATAGCTTTGTGTGGCTTGGATATCAAAGTGATTGTAGCCTCGTAGAAAGAGTTTGGCAATATCCCATCTGCTTCTATTGTGTGGAACAGTTTGAGGAGTACTGGAATTAGCTCTTGTTTGAATTTCCGGTAGAATTATGCAGTGAAGCCATCTGGCCCTGGCCTTTTTTTGGTGGGAGGCTTTTGATGACTGCTTCTATTTCATTAGCGGTTATAGGTCGATTTAAACTGTTTATCTGATTTTGGTTTAATTTTGGTAAGTGATAATTATCCAGAAAACTGTCCATTTCCTTTAGATTTTCAAATTTTGTGGAGTACAGGTTTTCAAAGTATGACCTGAAGATTCTCTGGATTTCTTCAGTGTCCGTTGTTATATCCTCCTTTTCGTTTCTGATTTTGTATATTAGCATGCTCTCTCTCTGTCTTTTGGTTAGTTTGGCTAGAGTTTTGTCTATCTTATTGATCTTCTCAAAGAACCAACTCTTTGTTTCATTGATTCTTTGTACTGTTTTCCTAGTTTCTACTTTGTTGATTTCGGCCCTCAGGTTGATTATTTCCTGGCGTCTACTCCTCCTTGGTGAGTTTGCTTCTTTTTGCTCTAAAGCTTTCAGTTGTTCTGTCAATTCTCTAATGTGACTTTTCTCCAGTTTCTTCATGTGGGCACTTAGTGCTATGAACTTCCCTCATAGCACTGCTTTCAGAGTGTCCCATAAGTTTGGGTATGTTGTGTCTACATTCTCATTAAGTTCTAGGAAGTCTTTAATTTAATTTTTTTATTTCTTCCTCAACCCAGGAATGGTGCATTTGGGTGTTAATCATTTTCCACGAGTATGTAGGTTTTCTGCAATTTGTATTGCTGTTGAATTCTAGCTTTAATGTATGGTGATCTGATAAGATCCAGGGGATTATTTCAATTCTTTTGTAACTGTGGATGTTTGCTTTGCTGCCAACTATGTGGTCAATTTTAGAGAAGGTTCCATGTGGCGCTGAGAAGAAGGTATATTCTTTTGTGTTTGGATGCAATGTCCTATAGATACCTGTTAAACCCAGTTGGGTCATACTTCTATCAGATCCTTTGTTTCTTTGGTATGTTTCTGTCTGGTGGTCCTGTCTAGTGGTGTAAGGTGGGTGTTGAAGTCTCCTAATATAAGTGTGTGTGGTTTTATGTGTGGTTTGAGCTTTAGT